ATTCTACATTTTCAGCCAGCGAAGAGCAGCCCTATCAGTGATGACACCTATACAAACCTCATTATTAGAGGGAGAAAAAGAGAACAAGGATTTATGTGAGAAAAGATGCAAGATTTTCTACTATGTGTAAACATATCTGCAACAAAACATGAGAAAATTAAATGTAGAAAATGATCCAAAATACTAATGAGATGATGTACATACTGAGGTAGTATTTCTTATTGCTAATTACTTAATCATAGACCTCCTGTCACTTTCCATCTGAGTGAGTACCTAGCCTCAGGAAATATTCCTAGCCAAAAAGAAATTGGTTTTTCATACAAATTTTTCTTCTTTCTTGATTGAAATGTGATTAGAACTCTACCACACACAAAAATAAAACCAGCTTATATATAAAACATCTTACTCTCCAAAAGATACTGGTTTAAGAAAACTCCAAGGGGGAAACTGATGATTGAAGATCCATGGCTCCCAAAAACTCTTGTTTTGGTCTGTAATTTTGAGCATACAAAAAGTCATGCTTCAAAAAATATTTGTACTGTATTAAAAGCTCAAAATTTATGGAAAAATCCCAGGGTTGTCCCCCCACTCACCTTTGTTTATCAAACATAGTACTTCAACCTGGAGAAGAGGAGACTAAGGGGAGACCTCATTGCAGCCTACAGCTTCCTCACGAGGGGAAGAGGAGGGGCCAGCACTGACCTCTTTCCTCTGGTGGTCAGTGACAGGACCAGAGGGAATGGTGTGAAGTTGTCTCAGGGGAGGTTTAGGTTGGCTATTAGGAAAAGGTTCTCTACCCTGAGGGTGGCTGGGGACTGGAATATGCTCCCCAGGGCAGTGGTCACAGCACCAAGCCTGACAGAGTTCAAGAAATGATTGGACAGTGCTCTCAGGCACGTGGTGTGATTCTTGGGGCTGTCCTGTGTAGGGCCAGGCATTGGACTTTGATGATCCTTGCAGGTCCTTTCCAACTAACAGCTTTCATGAAGATCACAGAATGCAATCCCAGTGCCTGAGTGATGAAACTACCCCCCATTTTACATTTCTGGGTCCATTTATCTTTCTACAGTGCTTGTTTCCCCCTCATCCTGAATGGCAGGTGTCTCCACAAGCTGAAACTCATGTCATGACATGAGAAAGGTGCTTCCCACCAGCTGGGAATGAGCACAGAAACCCACCTTTTTCCTTGAGGAGAAAGCCAGGAGGAGGGGGTGACTCAGGGAGCTGGTGCCCCCCAGCAAGTCCAGCCTGCTGCAGGCCAGGGGTGTCAAATGGCTGCTGGGGGGTGACTCGGCCATTTTTTTTAATTTTATATTTTTTTAGTATGGTACTTCTATTACTGAATAGTTTAAGAGTTTAAATTAGAGTCAAATTCATGAGCATTCGGGAAGGAGAACATCGGTGATATCCTCCCTGTCAGAATATCTAATTTCTTAAAGAATAATATAAGAAGGAGGAAATAATACCCACTGACGACAAAGTTGATTTCAATGACAGTTGAAGAAACGCGATTTAATCTCCCTATAGATCCATTTTAAAATGGATATATATGTCCCTTTGTATTTTTATGTAATGTACTTCACTTTAGTAAGTAGGTAGAATCTCTGTTTCTTAAATCAGACATTACTAGATAACCTAATAAATCCCTTCATTTCTGGATAGCCTAACTGTGGCCAGTTATACACTGTAGCAGCATGTGTATTACTTTGATTTTCTTTGTCCATAATGTGAAGACTTGATAGATGACTTTCATATTCACACTATAGATCCAGACTGAGGGAGTGGGAAATTTTAAATACATTAAAGAAAGAAGAAACTTCATTTCAGTTTGATTTATTAACCCTTATTATCATGTAGCATATTATCCTGTAATATTTACTTTATCATATGCGTATAAACAACCCAAAACAACAACTAAAGTATTTTTATTATTATTTTTTTATTTTAAAATAAACCTCTTAAATATGGCTAATGTTGTTAGATCAGATAGCTAGATAAAATCAGACAGATAAAATAGAAGAATTCCTCTACTGATTAAGCCAGGAGATACTGTTTCATAAAAACTTTTGCCTTTTATGTAACAAAGAGTTTCAAAATCCTTGAACCAAGAAGAGGATGTAAAGCACAACAAAAAACACACCCTAGATTTGATGATGATATTGCAACTTGATTTCAAAGACTTTGAAACAGTGATCAAAAAGCTGTGCAAGTAATATAAATTCTGTTTGAAAGCAGGCCCAGCTATGCTAACACACAAGACAGCTTTTGAAAGGTACTCAGGCCAGTTTTAAGAGCCAGCTCTTGCCAGAGGCCTTCATCTTCATCAGTACTCCAAATTAAGATTTATTACAGAAAGCAATTACATGTAATTTAATATTAAATTAAAATGCAAAGCTAAATCCAGACAAGTATTAATCGGACGATATGGGAAGAATATGTATGTACACTATTATACAAATAGGTAGCTATAAATATAAATACACAACATTGTTCAATAGAAGAATGGAGAAGACCCTGTAATAAGTTCTAGTCTAACTGAAAATACAGGGGATAGTTTCCCTACTGTAAGTGAATTCTGCCTGATAACAAGGAAATGCCAGGAGAGGTGTCATGGCTCTCAGAACTTAAGATACCAACCAAGGGAGTACCTGCCAGCTCCATGCCTGCAGCAAGTGTTCCTGTGAAGTCAGAACACTAATTTTGTCACTCAGGATTTGTTTTCTTTGATTGTGTTCTTTCCCAAGGGAAAATCTGTCTCAGCAATCAATGAACAGCTGATTCTTCATGATCCAATGGTTTTTCAAGAAGTAAAAGAGGAGAAATTTTATAGGTTTTGATTCAATTCAATACACAATATTTCTTGTGTGAAAAAGAGCCTTAGCTTAGTTTTATTCTTTATTCTTTTCAGGCAACAACTATAAGTCTTTGGGAACTATCAGAATATATTTACTTAATCAGAAAAAAATTTATTTCCCATGCAGTTGCTGAGTATGGAAAAGAGACTTTAACCATTTATTTACTTAGGACAATGTAGCATAGTGACCCACTTCAGGAAGTTCAAAATTAATAAGATGATTAATTAACACAGTTTTGCAGTAAAAGCCAAACCATTTCAAGCAAGAAGACACAGAAAATGTCTGGATTTATTCTTACTTATTGCACTGGGTTACATAAGTGACCAGTATCATTAACAGTATCATTATTAGTATCATTATCAGTTTTCTCTTTTTCAAAAGAACTGAGAATTCCTTTGGAACAAACCAGAAGCAATTAGGAGACTACAATTTGATATGATGTAATTTTCAAGGGCCAATTTTATGAGTTCAGTGGGAGTTGATGTTGCTTCTGTTGCCCTGAAAATCACGGTTTGTCAGCCACATTTATTAGGCTCTTCATATCTGGGCATAAGTTGTTAAAATTGTACTTGATAGTGTAACCACAAGAAATAGAGTGAACTGGTAAGAAATAAACGTTTCTTCACCATAAGTCTTCCAGTTTTGCATAATTTCTTACTTGCTTTAGGTTATTAGCTAGTCTTGACAAATGATGAAGGCATTCAAGAGAATTGGTCTGGGGGACAAAGATATCAAGTTCCTAGAAATAGGAAACTGCTTAGCTAGCCTTAAATGTACTGTGCCTTAAACTCAAAGATATTCAAGCCAATTTTTCATTTGCCTATGAATAGTAGGTGCTTTTCCCTTATTTTTTTTCATTGGACCAGGTAATCTTCAAGACCTTATTTTTTGCTACAAATTTGAATGAACTCAGCAAAAAATCCAATGCCATTTACTTTAATGGGACCAGAGTTTGGCCTTCCTATGTAAATATAATTTGTATTCCCCATCAAAAGTGATTTTTAATGGCCTCCTTAACAAGATAATCCACCAAGGAACTGATGACAACTGCATCTAGTAACCTACTTAACAAATCCAGTCAGACAACTATTACACATTACTGCATGCCATCAAAGCAGGGTGTAACTTAATATGAAATTAATATAACAAACACATTTGATAGTTGACCATAGGTGCTTGAGAAGGTTGAAGGTGATAATTTATGAGCAGAAGAACTCTTTGTCTTTGGAGTAATACTGACTTGGGACTGGAATGGAGGAAACACCTACTGCATATGGAGGTAGTTCAATCATCAGATTCAAGTAAATACTTGAATTTCCTAGTGAATGGGACTCAGAGCTGTGTGTTCATGAAGGACTTCCTGAAGATTTCATTTGGTTCATAAACAACCATATGATGGTACCTGTCCCTAGAGGAGACCTCATTCCAACTGGCATCTTACAGTGCACAGATTGCCTGTTTTTGAGTTGATTGGCTCATGTTTTACAGGGAAAACCAATTTTCCTGTGTCTCTCAACTTGAAATAAAAGATCCCATTGCTAATGTGTGTTTCTGTGACTGGAATGGAACTGTAATGAGGGAAATATATCATATTAGCTTGCAAAAGAGTAAATAGCAATAGCCACAGTATTAATTCACTATACATATAGCATTATTAATAGTCAGGAAAAAGTCACGGTTTTTCTAGATCCTTGGGAATATTTTGATTTGAGACAACATTTTGTCACAGAAAACTTGCTTTCCTGCAGGTAATCAAAATTTGGAAACCATTCCACAAGAAATACTCAGAATTATTCTGCACCTTAAGTATGTAGTACTTGCATTTAAGTTTTGCCAAACATTTATGATTATTATGAAGTCATAATCTAAGTGATCTGTACCACCTTTAAATGTTTGGGTTTTTTAAAGAGTCAAAAGTTAATTTAGTACAAATCAGGTATTTAAAATTTACATCTACTTTTCACTTTCAGTTGCAGGAAGTTTGGGATCAGTGAGATGGTTGACTACCTTACAAACACAAGTGAATCTTTCAGGAAATAGAGGAAATACCAAAGTCTAAATACTATGGGAATGGTTGTAGAGTGAAAAGACATGTTAGAGTTTGTCAGCAAGGGTTAGTCCACATTAAAGTACCTTTGTTCATAAGGCAGTAGAAAGCACAATTTATTGGCAGAAATGCAGGTTCTATCAGCAACATACATTCCTCACATTTTTTAAATAACTCTTCTTGCCAAACAGCGTAAGTAAATGATCTTAAGGACACTTGCCAGAATGAATTGAATTTCCTCTCTGTAGGATTTTGCTTGAGTGGTTATGTCAGAAGTATGATTTTTTTTGATTCTTCTGTATCTTATATTTTAGCAAATAAAACCTTACTGTACAGATCCTGACTGATTTTTTTTTGAGTTGGGAGTGGGATAGGAATATGTCATGATCACTCACCAGTGGCCTACAGAGCACGCTGATATTTATGTATAACTTATAAAGTACATTAATATTCCTATTGACTGCTTTAAATTAATAACTTTGATGGTTCATAACTGTACTCAAAACATTTTGTAATTGTCTCATTCCTGTAAAGTGTATATTCAGCTTCTTGAACAAGCAGATCTTGCACTTTCAATCCAGGCATATAATGCCAAATCAATACATTCTATTTCTGTGAGATCTTCTGTGTATTGCACGACTATGATATATTGTGGTAATATATAATAATAATGTATAATATTAATATATAATTTCACAGCTTTATAATCCAACATTCAAATACTTGCAAAACTTTCTCAATATTATCAGAGGAGACATAAACATCAATAGAGTCAAAAGTGTCAGCACGGAAAGGCTACACTGCCTCTTGGAGACACTGAAGAGCTGCATGTTTTCATCCTTTTGCTATGTGACTACATAAATGCTTGTTGTATGACTGAAATGTAGTTCATAGAATAATGAGAATCTGGAGGTCATGTAGCCAAGCTTCATCTCCTTGGGGATATCAGTGTAAGATTTTTTTTCTCTTATCTTACTGGAATTTCCCACGTTGCAGCTTGTGTCTGTGGTTTGTAGGCTTTCTGCTGTGTACCTCTGAGAAGTCTGGCTTCATCTTTTCTACACCCTCCCTCTGGAGTTCAGCAGGGTAATCTTTCCTTTACCTTCTCTTTTTAAGGTTGACCTAATGCTGCTCACCGAGCTTCTCCTCACAGACCATGTGCCCCAACCCCTTTATCACCTCGGTGGTCCATGGTCAACATGGACCGTCAACGTATTTCCTGTACAGAGGAGTCCAAAATTGAATACAGTACTCCACTTGCAGTCTCACAACTACCAAAAAGAAGTGAAGAAACATCTGCCCTGATCTGCTGGCCACATTCCTGCTAATACACTTGTGGTTTATCACTGCTCACATGATGGGACTCGATAAAGGTAATTCCTACAGATGTCTAAAATTACTTCAAACAGACATGCATGTAGCCGTTTTTCCCTTAATCTTACAGCAAAACACAAAATTAGGGCCATAGCTCTCTGCAGTAGAGATTTTCTTATTAATGACTCAAAACAGAAGCACTGTACTCGAAACTCAAGCATCAGTACTCCTATAGCCTCTTTAAAATGCTGTAAAAATATTCAGAGGCAAGAAGATTCTGGTGGTTAAATCCTGTGAACCTAAACAATAGTATATTCATAAAAAATCTTGCCCTTACAGACAAAACTTTTGAAAACTGCAGTAGTAAAGGAGTTGATAATATCATAAGTTTATATAATGATTCTTTTCCTTATTACAGTTTCTTTGCAAGCTTCTCAAAAGTGCTCAAACAGGTGATGTATGTTTTCCCTGTCAGCTCTCCTCCCTAACTAAACAATTTACTTTATAATGTAATAAATGTCGGGCGTATGCTTCCCAGGATGGACGCTTGAATCTAACATTCCATCAGACAAGCTTTGATTATAGGTTTTTTTTAATTATGAATCTACAAGGCGGGCCTGGCATAATACTGTTATGAAACTAGTCTACTGGTTATCTTGAGGTAAATCTCAAGAAATACAGTCTAAAAATATATGAATTTTTATCTCCTTTATGTTCAACAGATCATGATTTACTAGTTCTCATTTCAAAATGAAACTGAGGTTGGGTATTTCCAAATGTGGGTGCCTAAATATATTAGGACATATATGATGTAACATAAAAGCAGTGTTCACAGTAGGAAACTACTGTTTAGGCTAAAAGAATCTAAAAATAAAGAACTCTAAGCAAAGGCTCTGCATGACCAACTGTCCGACCCCTTCTATGTAGATTCCAATGTTTGAAAACATTGGCCCTGGGCTTTAGGGAATACTATTTCAAACAAATAAACCTGTCTCTGTCATTACTGATAAAACCCTTGATGAAAACAGGACAGATTTACTCCCTGTATTTAAAAGCTGAAATTACTACAGGAAAATTCAGTACTCTGGTACGGTAACTGTTTTTTAAAATTACCACCAACAAGAGATTTTTATACCTTTGAACAGCTGCTGTTCTAGAACTACTTTAGTAGACTCTACTCTAAAAATACTATAATGTATGTATTACACTTTACTTGCACAAACAGGTTTTACTGAGTATTTAACAATTCCTGTAACACACTAGGCCAATGGTTATCATCCTGTCATCAAACTCAAATAGGTCTGACATCCTTTCTGGCCCGGTGGGGCAATTGTTATGATTGCTCTTCATTTAAATTGCATGTAGTACCATCAATGGAAAGAAGAAAGGCTTTTATCTTTGGAAGATCTATAGTTATAAATTGAACCAAATTTTCTCAAAGTACTATGGACTTTTAGTAAAAGTTCCACTATGTCTACACTGTTTTTTTAATTTTGTCAGGAAGATGAACGTATTCATATTTTTCAGGATATTTCTTGCCTGTAAGCTATAAAAGCATCTGTAAGGCATTCTGTGACAAAACAGCTTTTGCTTTGAGGGGATGCTTATTATAAAAGCAAAGAGCTTTTTGGCAGAGAAGAATTTAGAATAGTTTCTTTCCTCTTTTTTATGAGGGAAGAAAGGAGGGATGAAATATTCACATTTATTTATATTCATAATTTACATTTACATTTAATGTGATTCTTCTTCCAGTTTGAAAGACTTCAAGCCAGGGAAGTTTTCCTACACAGATACTTCCAAAGAACTAGAAAGTATGCATCATGACTCCGCCTGTTCGCTCCCGTTTTTAAAAATAAAAATGGAGAAATTTTGGACTTTTGGTTTGAAATATGCAGAAAACTTTGTTGCTTCAACCATCTGGTATGCTTAATTGTCTTTGCTGAGCACACCACTTCCAAAAATATCGGTGAATATAAAATGCACATGGTATAATCGATATCAAAAATAGGATCATACCATACAGTAAAAATTGCTGTACACATAAAAGGAAAGAAAAGCCCATACTCAGTTGTGTCAGCTTCAGCAGTGGAACCCTCTCCCATAATTTTGATGTAGAAAATTTTATGTCAGACCAGTTGAACACATCTTTATAGTCTGAAGGATTCTAGGACTGATTGTCATGCTAAATAAAAATACAACCACTATATATATTAGTGTTAGAACCAAAACAAAGAGGATTATGGGTAGAGCAACACACTACAGAATTTTTTCTTAACTGGCATAATGTAATAAATGATGGATGGGTTAACCTCTTTAGAAACCTGAAGTTCTTTTCATATTTAGCATAGAGAAAAATCTAGCCTTTCTTCCTGTTCTAATGCAGAAATTTTACACGAGTAACTTGCAGTAAAGAACTGTGAATTAAGCCAGCATGAGGTTTAGAGCACTAAACTTTGTGCACCAAAGCAATGGTAGGGAGAATTTGGTATCCAGGAAAGGTATAATCCAAGTGTAGCTGAGTTGGAAGCTCCTCAGGCAGCTACATTAGCCACAGTGAAAATGCAAAGGACAGAAATGGGTGTGTGGGCACTGGTCTTGGTATCTGTGTCTCCTTCCAGGACTGTTTATGCATTTTGAAGTAGACAAACTTGGGTAAAAATCAACAGACATATTTGGAGCCACATCCAGGACTAGGATTTTTCTTCTGTCTCACCCAAAGACACGCTTTATTGCAATGGTATGACCAGCTCCTTCTGATCCTGTGAATTTTGCATTGTTAGTTTCATGGCTGCACAACTTAAGTGGAAGACCTGAAGACCTCTTGTCTAGTCTGGAGCTAAGGCATTCTCTTGAAAATTTGCTTTAAATCAAACCAAGGAGGACAATTAGCTTCCCAATTGCTTAATGTGGACTCTAACCCCTACACTATTACACAGAAAGCACAGCATAGGGTTTTTCATCATATGTGTGAACCAAACAATGAAGTCTGATCTACTCTCTGATTTCAGTATAAGGTTAGGCATGATCCAAATTCAGGAAATTAGTAAGATGCCCCAGGGGACTTAGGCACAGGAAAAAGTAGTCCTGAAGCCAAGTGAAAAAGATGGTGGCATTCCATAGCTCTACACAAAAGTTAAACCTAGGTGGCCTAAAACTCTGCTAACAAATTTCAGATTTCAAGTAGCCTAGAATACTGTAGATGCTATTGTTGAACTAAGACACCAGTATTTCACCTGGCCTGAAATTCCCAAGTACTTTTGTGGATCTGTGTCTATATTCACAGATACAGTCACTGGCAGGGAACAAGTCTTCAGAGTTGGCACTAGAAACATTGTGATTGTGATAGTTACACAGTCTGCTTTAAAGCAGCATTTAATTTTGGTGATTCACAGCCATGACGCTTATAAACATATTATTCTAGTCTCTCCCCCTCCTCTCCATTTTCCTCTAAAATTGATGAGTATTATATCATGTTGTCTATTCTATTATCTGTCATAGACCACAAAATAATCTCAAAGCAAGACCAGATCTGATACCTGTAAATATCAAATATTCCTTTTGTCTAGTTAGAAAATTGTTTTGTGTAAAAGAATCCATCTAAAATTGAGGTAAACTTTATGAAGAAATCATAACACTGTTTTAGTATGTTACAAATGCTCCTTTAGAATAACTCATGACAAGATCTTCTGTGGTGATTGGTTCCTCACAAAACTTTGGTAAATAGGTCCCTGCTGGAACACAAGCAACACTGTGTTCTTCCTGATGATGCAGTACATCAAACAAATTCCCTAGATGCTCCCCATTACAGGCTCAGTATCTGTTTGGTGGTGGTCATGGAGCCAAACTTGTGGGAACCAACGTTGTAGATCAGAGTGAGTGTGAAAAAGGGTATGAAAATACAAGAATACATAACTAAGAATGTTTGCTAGTGCATAAGTGTCTTAGATTTCACAGCTTAATTCTTATTCTTGCATTTTAAGTGGGTGATTTTCTCCATCCAGTACAGTTATAGATCTTCCCTTAAAGGCTTTTTCCTGTGGCAACTGCATACTGAGTCTCTGTCATCAGGCTGAGGTACAAGTTCCATTCCATCCCGTATTTCAGGTTTGCTGGCTTGACGTTTGGCATATTCCTGAAATATGTAAACAACATTTAAGAATGCTATAAGCACCAACATATAATTCATGAAACAAAATTCTCCTCCTCCCTTCCACTCAGAAGCTTACCTTTACCCAGCCTCCTTATGTCATTGTTTACAACTTCTGTACAAGGTGTCTTTATAACACACCTACTAATAGGCTACACTGCCTCTGAAAACACTCTTTAATGTTTTTGCCTATTATTAATGGTAACTTGAATATTGTCATTATTTGTGCCTCTAACCACTTTGTGCAGATACTGCTGTCATTTTTGTACACTGAACAGTTTCAAACTTTGTAACAACCTGTGGCTGCTGAAGCTGACATTTAACTGCAAAGTAGAACAGGAAAAAAAATTCATACTTTCAGAGAAGAGAAACTTCTTTCACTAGAGATTTGCATCTCCTAGGGAAGCAATAACTATTGGGCCTGCTTACCCCCTACCACTCCACTAGCCGTACTTCGGTAATTTCTTTTCCATGTATGCATTGTTTTCTAATACAACGGAGTATCTCATGATATGTGTGAGAAAGGAAGAAAACTGTATACAGATTATCTCTTACAGAGATCTATTAGAAACCACATACCAAGTGACACTGAAAACAGGGTTGACTGTGGGGATGGGGACAAAAAAATAAAATTGCTGATTCTGTAAAACAACTATTATGTAAGGTTGCCTCTTTAATGATAAAGCAGGTTTTAGCAAAGCTCTTCACACTGATCTCCTGTGAATATGAACCATATCTGCTACTGATCTAAGTAAGGACTGAATGTGAAATTTATAACATCAGCAGCAGTAGCAGCTGGGGGACAGTAATAGTGATCTATTGTACTAACCTGGAGCACTTTATAATAGTAGCAGTAAAACCTGTGAGGTTGAAGTAATTCTCTTGCTATTAACTGTCCTTCTTTAGCAATTTTTCTTGCTTCTTCATCATTTTCCTGGAAAATTCAGATTGAACAAGTGAATAATACAGAAATAAGTGAGCTGCTCAAAGCCTGGTTGGCAATGGAAGTTTTATTAAACAGGCTATTCACATCTGCAACTTTATTGAAATTACTGGTAGACTGCAAAGGCATGCTTTAAATTGCAGATTTGTTTAAAAATACTGGATTGCTTTTATTGTCACAACTGGTACCTTAGGGCCATCAGTAACACCTTTCAGGAATAACTGTACAATTCTGAAAACTCAGATTGATTACTGCTCTACTTTTTTGCCCAAGGCTTCAAAATCAGGTCTGATGTGTCCCAGACATACTTAGTTTTACAGAAGACAAACCCACAGATGTTGTATTCTCTTATGCAGTGGAATCCAATGTCTTCCTTTTAAAAATAACTCTGCTTGAATTCATGTACTTATTCTCAAGTTTTTTAGGTCTATATTTCAGCTTTTAGTATTCCCCTCTGATTCCTTATGAAGAACTACAGTACTCTCAGAACAGTCAGGGCCTAAAAAAACCTATAGCATTAATTATGTAGTATCTAGGATTCTGGTTGTTTCTTTAACAAGTACCTTAGTGAATATACTAAGGCTCTGACTCATGAACACTTCTGCACACACCTAAAATGAACTCCTGTGTACTGCCCTAAATAGAGATGGTTACTTCAATTAAGGCCTTCCCATCTAATACTAAGAACAAAATGTACTTTATCCCAGGATCTTGATAGACTCCATGCAAAATATGTAGGTAGAAATTCAAAAGAAGAAAATATTAAGATAAATTCTTGTTATGTTTGCTTATCACTTTGAACATTAATTTGTAATGGAACTTACCTTAGCCCATTTTATTTTCTCTAGCAAGTCCTCTAAGTTTCTTTTAACTGGAACATAATGTTTCCAAGGTTTTAATCCATTATAAAAGTGTTCATAGTATTGGGAATCTTGCTTCAATATTAAACTATCACCCAGCAAGAGGTATGGAAACCTGTAAGCTGCTACAGTGCCATCTACATTCACTTGATATTTGTACTACAAAATGAAGAGGGAAAAAAACGAAACATTTTGTATCAGAATGGGAACTCTGACTGGAAGAATGATTATTTTAACAAGCAAGAAGTAACCATGTTTATTAATTCTCATCTTCAAACCCATTTTAGTGCTAAGTAGGTGTAGTTTCATGGTGTTCTGGACAACATAACGGAAGAAGGATATGTCTTCAACCACACACTGACAGTCAAGAACCTTTGTGTCACAGGTACTGCCTGATGGGTATTCTACTGAAGCGTCTTAGGATAGAGCAAGGGGTACAGTGGGGAAGGAAATAAACTAATCTATGCTTAAATTCAAAACCAGTAATTTATTCTGACTTAAAATTCCATTATTATGTACAATAATCTGGAACATATATTTTTATATAAAATAGTCTGAAATATTATACTAAAAGTAACCATGACTGCACTGCTCTGGCAGATGTTCTCAGCATTTCTGATATACCAGTGTCTGGAACAGAACTTCAACTGGTATGTATTATAATGGCTTTATATAGGACTCCGTCTTCTTTACTTTTTATATGTCTGAGGCAGTGTAATTTGTGTGCTAAAGTGCAACAAAGTTTAACTTGTTACTCCAAGGACTCTTCCTGACATCCATAATGTACTTGCAGTATATCCAAGTTGTGTCCATTCTTTTCATATTTACCCCAAATAAAAGCAACACGGATGGTGAGAAATCAAATTTTTCAATTTGTTCAAAAATAAAAATGAAAGTAAGCCCAGATCTCTCTCTAAGGGTCTTTCTTGGCTTTCTTTACAAGTGTGTCACAGAAGACATTGATTACAGGTGGTTTACCTACCCCACATGGACTAGTATTCCCAGTGTAGCATAATTGTTTTATTTACTGAATGGAATCAACAAAAGTAAGCCTTGTCTTTTCAGCTTGTAAGAACTTGACAGCAAAACTCTACTTTGCTTGCTACCTTAAAGAAGTCAAAGAAGCCCATCAGCTGAACCTTTCCCAGATCATTTTCTTTTTCTCTGAAGAAGAAATATCCTGTTATTCCAGCATCTAGTAGTTCTGGATTTTCCTTGGATAACTTGACAAGATGGAGACGTTCTTCCCGGCTGTCTCGACCTCTAAATAAAGCTCGCTCAGTTTTGTTTTCCCAGAATGGACCTATGACAATTGAGAGATATGGTAAAAGCAAACAGTAATGAAATGTCATTGTATGTTTAATGCAAATAAGAAACTTGGTATGACAGTGGCATTACACTCAGAGACATGGTAAAACAGGCATGGTTTCTCCCAGTGAATCCATAATCACTTATGAATCATAGGGTTAAACTCTCAGTTCTGGTTTGAATTTTGTGATGAAAAATTGAGATGCTTATACAAGGAAAATCAGAAAATTGCTTTTCCACTAGACAAGTTTTTATTTAAATAACTTCAACTATCTTGAAAGCTACATAAGGGATTATAATAAAATATATCAGTAAAATACTAATAATTAAAGTAATTCTTCATCCATAAAGTCTGCCACAATAACCAAACTTCTTTAGCAAAACCCACTTCTGTTACCCAGCAATTTAATTAGGTCCCTGAGGAATCACTTAACAATGCCTTGAAAAGAAAAATAAGTAGCTATGTTGTGTCCTCTAGATACTTAGCGAGAGCCTGAAAGACTTCATCTCTGCTTACTGCCTGCTTTTAAAAACATTAAATATGTCCTTCCTTACCCTTCTGCTGAAAATTTCCTTGACGTGCCTACTAAGTGGAGTACTCTTTTATTGTCTCCTAATTGGAAATGCAGCTGTATTAAATCAGTAAACACAGAGTGCCTTGAATTGACAATTTAATTAAAATATTTAAAAACTAATAAAGAAAAGAGAATCTGAGAACTAATTAAATAAAAATAATTAACTTCTCACTCAAGTTTTACTCCTTAGGTACTGCAAATATGCCATGTGTCTGATCCCTAAGTATTCATTAATTTCTGGGGGAGAGGAAGACACCTGTCAGTAAAACTGACTCTTTTTTCAAAGCTAGAAAAACAATTCAGAAGATCCCACTCTGAGGTATTTTTTATACAGACAATATTTTCTCATTTGAAAGAGCTGTGGCATAATAGCTTACTTCTTTCAGGATTCAAATTCATTTTTTTGTAAACAGAACATTGGGCCACAACACCGTCAGGCAAAGAATTACTATTTGATTAGAACATATTTGAGTCCTTCAGTGAGAAGAAAGGCTTTTAAATTATATTTTCTTTTGACAGGTCACACTAGGTATCTTCTGGGTACCTTTAAGTCAAAATTCACCAATATTGCAAACTGTACTTTTTTTGGTTCTAAATCCCTCTTATACACCTCCTCAGTGGCAGTGTTGAAACTGTTACAATCTGTAAAGACTAACCTACTTGTATTAAGAGATCTCCTAGGGCACTTGTGAACTGAAGACTTTAACACATTATTTGAATGCAACTTGCTTCTTTGATGGAAATCACAGTTCTTTCTCTAAATCCATGATCTCTAATTTACCTGTATTGCCTTGAATGGAAAGGAGATCGTTTGTGACTCCACGTAGTGTTTCAAGAGTTGAGTGGGTTACATCATACGTTGGAAGGACTATATCTCTGGAATCCACAGAGCCACACCATGAAATGACAGGTATAGGACCAGGTGTATCATTAGCTTTCCGATACTCAACTGGCCAGTCTCCAACATTAAGATAAAACTCCACATCAGGAAGACGAACCTAAATGTATACCCAAGAAAGGATAATAACATAAAGAGAGACGGTGTTTGTCACTCTTACATATATTCTTCAGTTTTCTTACGTCATGCAGATTCAATAAACCTAACGCATAGTTCATAGATTTAGCTGTGCTTAAAGGTATGAATTTCAAATTTCTGCCCTACAAGCGAGTATGAAAGGAGCACTCAGAAGCCATGAGTATGAAAGGAGCCAGGAAATGGCTGGCAGTCGGGACTTTGCCCCGGCAGCATCCCTAGCATTTTCATTACTGCAAAGGCCAGCCCCCACACATTACCCCTTAGATACACTGTTGTCTTGATGGAAAAAACAGAAGTCAAATCTTACTTCAGGAATTATAAATCTGAAGATACAACAACAGATGTGATGCTGCCATATTTAAATATGTTTAGCCTGCAGAAGAGATGACTGAGAGGGGATCTTACCAATGCCTACAAATAATCTTAAGGGCAGGTGTCAAGAGAGACACTCTTTCCAGTGGTGCCCAGAGATAGGACAAGGGAAAACAGGCACATCCTGAAACACGAGGAGTTCCATCTGAATATAAGGAAAAACTTCTTCCTGTGAGGGTGACAGAGCACTGGAACAGGCTGCCCAGAGAGGCTGTGGAGTCTTCTTGCCTGAAGATATTCAAAACCTGCCTAGAGGTGGTGATCCTGTGCAACCTGATCTGGATGAACCTGCTTTGGCAAGGGAGTTGGACTAGATGATCTCCAGAGGTCCCTTCCCAGCCCAACCAGTCTGTGATTCTGTGATATTGCCTTAATTGTCTTACATGATCTAAACTGATACCTTTCTTGCCAGTGACAGGAACATTTCATCGGAGAACATTTTGAAGTCTGTATACTTCCCTAAGGAGCGACGGTAGATGTGATTATCTAGAATAGTGTAATGAACAATAGCACCTCTTGTTTGACTGAATTTTGCTGGGATTTCCTTAAGCATTCGCTGAAGGTCAATGGTGGGAAAAGAAATGAAGTCTTTTGTAATCTGAGGTTCTTGGGATGGACAAGACATAATGTTCTGCCAGCCCTCAGGGTCTTCTTCAGGACAGTCACAATATTCATGATAAACTGGTCCTGGGGAAAACAAAGCACTGAGAGTCTGTATTTGTGATTCTCCAACAATCATAATTCCCCAAACATGTAGGCATATATATGTAGACATTACAGAGGCTTGTCATTTTTTATTCTATGTTTTCTTAAGTTTTCCTGGGAAATCATCCTCCCTGTAATTTCTGGAATTTAGCAGTGTAACTGAGAAAACAGCAATATTCTTCTCTTTTCAGAAATACTAGATTTTGTGTTATCAAGGTGAAATTAATTTGCAAAATGAAGCTCCATTATTGTGAACCTGCCAAGCACATGGGGGATTCACAACAGTTCTAACTGTCCACAACGACCACAGCTCAGGTATTGCCGTGTCAATTATAGCCTAATTCAGAACTTCGATATGTTACATTAAATCAGAAAATACTCTTACCTTTCAAAATATAAGGAGATCGAGCTACATGCTGATCACCATAAAGTATCTCAATTTTTAAGCCTTTCATGACACTTCCATACATCCGATACCGCATAAGAAATGTACCATCATTTCTATCCAAAGGCAGAGGGGTGTAAATTCTGGTGACTTCATTTGGAGAAAGTCCTTTAATTACCACTTTAAACTGTGTTCTTCCTGAAAAGAGGAAAATAAAATCAGATAAAAGCACCTTAAGCTATTAGAATCACATCCACTAAACAAAGGTGAGAGCAAACTCTTCCAGATTAAGACCACGGAATTTAATTTAACTTTTCACTAGAATTTAATTATACCAAGTTGGTAAGATTAATTTCCAGTGATGAAAGATCACCCTACCAACTTTTCTTGCCCATCACATACCTATAAATGGTAAACCTCTAAGTGGAGATAAAAATTTAAATATTTGATTACAAGATAGAAGGAAAGCTTAACAGTATTTTGAAACTAAGATTAGGTTTAATACTAAGTTTTCAAGTTAGTGTCCTGAGGAAAAATAATTTCCTCTAGAGTAAGAAAGACAGGAAACTAACTTAAAATAACAGGAGAAAAGAATACTTGCCAGCTTGTGGAAAGGCAGTTGCAGCATGCAGGAGTCAGATACAAATTGTTCAGCTTTGGGCTGCTGCTGACTGTCTTGCACATTTAAAGTCCCAGCTACTGAAAAGCAGGGATAAGAGAATGATAACAGAGATGTTCCCTGGACACCTGTCTGACCTGTGCTTAAAGACCACCAGCATTTCATCATTAATGCACTGTAACTTTTAAACTGGGTATGGGATATTTTATGGACGAGTACACATAAATGTAAGTCTGTTATATTCCCTTATTTCTGTCACAAGTGGTCAACAACAACTTTATTCTTAAAAAAAAAAAAAGAGGGGGACAGATTATTCACAAAATGTTATAGTCTAAGCACTGTGAACCAAACAAATACAATGAATGTTACCACCAAGTAGTATACAGAAATAAATGAAACAAAAAAAAATCCAGATAAAATCAAGGTGTTACTAAAATTTGAATGTGTTCCAACAGCACTAAACGACTGAGATGTTACAGTTAATTCTACACTTTGCATACACAAATAAATGCACTGATGTGATAATGCAGGAGTCTTTCAATCATGTCTTCTGTAGAGCACTGCATCCCGAAATTGTAATCAAGTCAACTACTGTGCAAAAGCCTCCAGATTAGACGACTCTCCTGAAGGAATGGACATCTCTGCCTCTAAATGTCACTGCTCGTCACAACCACCTTTTTCAACTTGCTTAAAAGTGGCTCGCATTAACCAAGTATTCTCCCCCTATGACTATCACCTACCATTATTTGGATGAAAAAGCCTTAAAATTCAGAGCATGTCATGAGGTAAGATCACAGAGAAAATAAGCTTTCTGGTATCACATCTTTGTCTCTTTCTACCCATTTTATAAAACAGCATTTTCACTGGGTATAGAGATCTCCTACCAGAGAAAACAGTTTTCAGTTGTCATAAAAAATGAGTGAATATTGAGAAATTGTAAGTCAACTACTATTGAATTTGATCTCCTTGTCCTCACCTACAGGAAATAACTATGTGGATCTTTTTCCCTGCTGATTATGTCCTCACCACTCTAGAGATATAAGGAGCTCCAGATCTACCCAAAGGATATGTTAGTTTTAGTTGGTGACACTTGAGATACAGGAAGCATTTGATAAGGGAAGTGACCTGATAACAGAACTCCCCAGGAAAAAGCTAACCCCACTGAAAGCAGGGGGGAAGAAAGGGGAGACTGAATATTTAATGTAAGTACAAATCATTCACTGAAGGCAACAGGATTTCTCTTTATGATTTACAACATTCATTGTGTAGTGGGGTCAAGGCCTCTAAGTACTACTGAAATATTTAATTATAGCAGGCTTTTGCTGATTTTTTTTTTTAATTGGACTAAGGTTACCATGGTACTTTCACCTATGTTTTTTTGTTTCTCTCTGTCCAAAGGAATGACAAAAAGAAAAATATGTCTTTCTTGAATCATCACCACTAGTAGTTCTCTGTTACCCTGAAAACATGTCTGGGATAGCATTTTAAGTAAAAAATAATTTCCAAATACTGAAGAAAAATACAGACACAGTCGAAATAGGATATTTTAAGAAATCCTGATGATGACACTTGCTTAATGCATTTTTTTCTCTTGGAGGAGAAGGAAGTCAAAGAAGAAGCATATGAATCAATAGCATATACTTTAACAGAGTCAGATGTGAGAACATATATCCAGGAGCAAAGAAATACAGGTTATGGTAGGAAGTCGTGTGTGACCCTCACAAAACCCCAAGCATCTGGTCAATCAGACCCGAGGGAGGTCCTGCAGTGCCCAGGGACAAAGGTGAGTGTAAGACACTAACTGAAAGGCACTAACTCTGTTTAGCAACGAGCTGGAAGAAGTGTGCCACTGCTCTTTCAAAGTATTCGGTAAAACCTGCAAGAATACCTGTGAGGCCTTAAAAATATTTGTTAGCAAAGTATGTAGATCATCTGAAGAACAGTTAACTGCTAAGTTTATCATGGTCAATGGTACATAAACACATGGTTGGCAGCTGTTAAACCTAAGGGAAAACTTAGCAGAAAAGAAGGATGAGGCAATCCAAGTATTCAAAGAAAAAAATCTATGCAGTTCATACTAAAACAAAGTACTATATTTTCAGCTGTGATTTTTTAATCTTTGGAACAAATTTTCTAGGGGAACAGTGAATTCTGCATCATTTGGCATCTTCCTACAAGGATGGGTCAAAGAGTTACAGCCTCTGGGTTGAAATCACAGTGCGATGTGCAGTGGTGTGTGTCAATTCTGCTGAATAGCCTTGACACTCAGAAAACAAATCCGGATTTAAAATCTGCTAATTCTACTATACAAGTTTCATAATGAATTCCAGTAAGTAGTGACCTATTTGACTGAAATTCTCATCCACACAAAACACAATTTAATAGATCTGCACAAATTTTACGAATGGGAAGTCTAAACTGCAGCACTCCTGCTCTGATTGCAGTGCTCCTGTTTGTGCAATGGAGGTGACAATGCAGATTTATTTTTCTATCCTGACAGGGATATTTTGAGATGTATTTAATTTATATTGGAAAGCAGTGCCTGAATAAATATTACTCATTGCAATTCTTGGTGACATTTTACAGATAGAATTTGAATATTTAAAATAATTTGAGAATGGAAGTTTGTAGCCTGTTGTCCATATGAATACATTAAACAGTGCTCATGCACTGGAATATGATCAACTGTACTTCTAAATCGTTAAAGGATCCTTGGCACTCTCCTAAATAATTCTTGGCATGGCTCAGCAGTCAGCACAGGCCAAGCCAATCGTTCTTTCCTGCCAGCAGCACACATGCTTTGTTTTGGTTTGGAGGCTACAGCTGTATGAATGGAGATCACACCATGCCAGATGGCATTGGGACCTGGAAACTTTCCTGGGACATTGAATTTATTAACATAAATATTAACACACATGAACACACTGAGGTCAAAACTATGTTCTCAGGACCCATGTCCTAGCAGTTTATCTTGAAGGTTTTAAACTAGCATGAGAATCCAATTGAGCTTCACGCTTTTTCACCTTTAGCAACCTGCTTGAACCCAAGGCTCCCCCTGTGCAGCTCAAATCAGCCTCCACTTCACTGGCAGTGAGTGTGCAGTCGCATTCTTGTGTGCAATTACAAAACTGCGCTGAAATCCAGCAACAAGCTGTAACAGCAGTTGGAGAAAGTCCAGACGTGAAGCATCTGTCAGACTGAAGACATAACTTGTCTTCAATTTCACAAGTGGCAGCCTTCAAACTGCAAGACACCAAGAGGCTGTGCATACTTGGTAGATACCCTCTCAGTACCATCTGTACGAACAGCAAAGAGCAAAATAAGTAGCTTCTACCCTACTTAACAAATTAGCAACATGGGATTTCCACTGGGGCTATCTCAGGGTCATCTTCATTATGGAATCTGCAATGCAGAAGTAATTTTTATTCTAAATTTAAACTGTTCATATAGAGTGTGTGGAGTTAACTTGCAGCAGCAAGCAGCTGACTGACAGAGTATGGCTGGCCTGCAAGAACAAACCCAATTCTCACCCTCAGGAGAAATGTCATGGGATGGTGTGTGCTTGTGCTGAGTAAATAACAGATGAAAATTACTCCTTAATGGAGCAGCAGTAGGATAACGGAGCCCAGAGGGCCGTGCTGACCGAGACAGAAATTTTAAGCAACTGGTGTGCGTGTACCATTAAAGATAACTGCGTTATCACTTGCCAACAGGGTACTGTGATCTTACATCCACTAGCTCCAGGAGCACTGGTTTATTTGTAGCTTGCTGGTTCGTTGCTGTAAATCCCACACTGTGTACAGGAGACCAAGGGTGAGAGGCAGAGCTCCGCGGAGGAGGCACTGGGCTGCACCAGAAGAAGGAAGAGGTCTTGACCCGCACTGGGTGATGCGGGACAGGTCGCGGGGGGCAGCCCGGGCCCAGCGACCGCAGAGCGAGCGCTCGAAGTGGGTAAGGAAGGAAGAGGGGAAGGCGAAGGCAGCTCCGTCCTGCTCCTGCGGAGAAATCGCAGCCCCGGGCAGGGACTCCACCCTGCGCCCCTGCGCGCCCCCGAGCACTCGTACGGTACCTGGCGGGGAGCGGGAGAAGTTGTGTCCGGCCGCGCTGACCGCCTGGATGTAGAAGTACCGCACGGGCAGGGTGAGCCCCGCGTCCAGCCCGGGGCCCCACGCCAGGCTCCGCTCGGCGCTCACGGGGTCCGCCGGCTCCGTCGCCCGCAGCAGCGGCACGCGGCGCCCAGAGCAACCACCAGCAGCGGCGACCCCGCGGGCCACATCGCCCTCGGCCGCCAAGCCCCGCCGCCAAGCCCTGGCCGCGTCGCTCGGAATGGGGGCCAGGGCCTCCTCCGGACCTGCGCGGCCCCGCTCCCGCTCCCGCCCGCGGGGCGGCCCGACGGGCCGCGGGCCGGGGCCGGGCAGAGCCGCGGGAGGCGCGGGAAAGGGCCGGGCTGTCCCGGAGCGCCTGAATCCGGCACCGCCTTTTCCTCCTCCCCTCCCCCCGCTGCCGGACGAGCTGCAGGACTCGCGTACGGGCCGTCCCGCGAGGCAGCCCAGGGAGTTTGGGGCCGAGAACCTCCCCC